AAATGCGGCTCATTCACCACAGGGACCCACGGTTACCCGCGATCACGTGAAAAAGGTCTGTCCGTGCGTACGTCTGGTGGTGTCCATAGTGAGAACGATTTCGCTTTAGTACAAAAAGGCGTGTACGAAAGTGTGCTGCCCGTGAATCTATGGTCTTTCTGTACTTTAGACTGTTCATGTCTCGTATTGCAATCAATGTGATCTTTTTCTAACAGAAGCGTTCCTTCCTCCCTTGTAGTGCTTCCGTTTCGGCTTTAGTGAGCGTCACTTTCCCATTGTGTCAAGTCTGATGCAGGCGTGCCGCGATGTCGGCAGAGCGAACGAGCCTGCCTATCTTGCACATTCGATGGCCCTGCCAGTCAAAACTATTCAATAGAACCTTAGCAACCCCATGTTCGCGAACGGGCCAATCGCAACGCTCGCAAACGATCTTGCAAACCCCACGTTTGCGAACGAGCCTGCCAACCCCACATTCGAGAATGACCTTGCCAACCCTACTTACGCGAACGGGCCTGTCAACCCCACTTTCGCGAACGAGCTTGCCGACTCCTCATTCGTGATCGAGCCTTGCCAATCCCACGTTCGCGAACGAGCTTGGCAATCCCACTTTCGCGATCCTCATTCGTGATCGAGCCTTGCCAATCCCACGTTCGCGAACGAGCTTGGCAATCCCACTTTCGCGAACTATCTTTGCCAATCACACGTTCGCGAACGAGCCTGACAATGCCCCCCTGACGATTAAGCCTGACAACACATCGCAGGGAATAAGTTTGCCAAACCTGTTTTCTGTCAGGGTTGCCGAGGTTGGTAACTGGACAGAGGTTGGACAACCCAACGACCTTGTCAGAGGCTCGACCTTGCCGATGACCCCCCCCCCGCCTGCATCCCAGCGTTCCCAAGGGGGTTCGACCTCCACCTGTGCTTCTGCCTCTTTCTCTCTGCCTGCAATGATGTTGGATGCTTAAGTGTTTCTTGTCGTGCATCCGTTATGCCCGTGGCTCCCAAAAAGGCACCCTTCCTCATCCCAGCGTGTCCGTTGGCGACCCCTGATGTTTGAATGTTCCTCGCCTCCCTTCAATTTAGTTCTGCGGGGGTGCGTAGATTATCCTAGTCTTAGTCGNGTTGTAAAACAAGCCAACTCACTTCGTGAACTCGGCAACCAGGTTACCGTTTTTTTTTTTTTCACTCCGTTTTTTTTTGGCGGTAACCATAATGCAGGTTGAGTAGATCATGTGCGGGGTCGAGAACCCTCACTCCGCGCAAGGGGGATGATCGCACCACGTTGTGTTAAAATGGTCAAGCACNTTGTTGAAAATGTACATCTGTCAGCTGCACCAAGAACAATGCTGCAGCAAAGAGGGAGAGCATGCTCTCCTTTCCTCGACGGCCCACTATTACCCTCCTCTCAAACTCCAATGTTATTTCGGTGCTGATGGGTAACTTCCGGGTCGAGTCGCCGGGGCCTCCGCTGCAACACGGTTCAAAGCGTTTTCTCGGGTCCTCATGACGTTCACAACGGGTCGAAGCTTTGACGGAGGAGGCGAAGAAAGTCCCGCTCGCCATGTCTCGCAATTGTTTTTTATCATATGGTGCTACGATATGCTTGTTGCTCTCGCTGGTGCATGAGGGCGCCTGGCGCGGGATGAGAGCTAATTGTTTTCCTGTTGTGTCTGCAAGGGCGTTTGGAATCTGTCGCTGCTGCCTCTTGGCTTCGTCCGCGCCGTTTTTTTGTCCGTGCGAATCGTGGCTTTTTGGGGAGGGGGGCGGGGAGTTGTTTTGATGGTGTTAGGAAAGTAGACAGGTATATTTCTGCAGTCTCTGCATTGTTTTTTGAAGACACCGCTGTCGCAGCTGGCTCCGCTTCAGGTAGTGACGTTTTTCTTGACTAGAAATAGTTGTAGAATTTGGGGCGGCCAGGGGTGGGGGGGGGTTCTGTGTTCGGTGTCGGGAGAGACGTTCGTTTCGACTTGTGCGTTTGGGTATCAGTACTGCCGCTACGTGTAGCTGTTGCTTCCGGCTGAGTTGTTTTTCCTCACAACAAACAAAGGTAGTTTATTGAGGGGATTGTGGGTTGTCTCCATGATCGACGTCGCTGACGGTCATGGGCGAGGGGATGGTTTGTGGAGGGACATTCAATACACAGAACGACGTTCGCAAACGGTAACTTATTATGGTTCTCGCTTACATCTATTCGCGCTACTCGGGATGTTGACGACCCTGGGTAGAGATGATAAGCCGCGGGGGGAGAGAGCTACTGGCAATGTGCATGATGCATGGGCACGGATTGTCGTTGTTTGAGAGGTTTACTCGGGAATGTACCGACGATAAAATTGTAATGATTCGAATACAGGGGGCAAAAAAACAAATGAAACACAAAAAAACGAAGTGCAGGGGGTTCGAAGTCGCCACCACAGTGTTGAGCACTGCTGTCTGTTGTAGACCGGCCGCAACGTGCGCAACCTCTCAGAGAGGGTGTACATTGCAATACCATCGGCAACCTGCGCCCTCACCGGCTTGTGCGCAACGCGTCGACCTGCAAGAAAGGGTACACCCTGCACTTCTACGGGCAACCTGCCCTCCAACCGGCCTGTGCGAAGCGCGCCAACCTGCAAAAAAGGGTGCACCTTGCCATGCCATAGGCAACCTCCCCCCTAACCGACTTGTGCATGGCACGCAAACCTCCAAGAAAGGGTGCACCTTGCGCTGCCATCGGCAGCCTGCCCGCTGTCCAGCATTGCACCAACCACAAGAAACGGTACACCTTGCACCGCCATCGATAGCTTGACCCCTATCCGGCTTGTTAGCAGCGCACCAATCACCAAGAAAGGGTAAACCTTGCACTATCGTCGGCAACATGCCCCCTATCCGGCTTGTAAGCAACGCGCGACCTCCAAGAAAGGCATACCTTGCACAACCTGGCCATCGTTGAATTGCAAGGATTACCCAAGGTGATGAGGTCGCAACTCGTGCCAAAATAATTAAAGATGGAGGTTGGCCACCCGTGTACCACGGACAACCTCGACGCTATTATTGCGGTCTACCACCTTTCTCTACCAATCGTTGCACATGTCAGTGCCAAACGTGCTCCAAGACAGGATGTCGGTGGTAACTCGACACAAGAGTACCCCAACTGTGGTCGCTTCTTCCGTCACACCTGATGGTTTCAAATGGCAGAGAGATCGAACCGACAAATTCCAGCTCCCCGCCTGATTCCGAACTTTCAGCGAAAAACCATCCATCGGTGCACCCCCGGATGTTGACGGGACTGTAGTCTATACCTACTCCAAATAGAGAATCAGCTGCCACGCCGGACAGATGAACAATTCACGAGTACGGTCGACACTGCGATTGGCCCTCGAGCCAGTTTGTACCGAGTGTTTCCGTCGTCTGATCCTTGAAAATGGACAGCGCAAACGAATACAACAGCATATCTGTCCCTAACTGACGGTGAATGGCTGGGCTGTCGTGAGCCCATTGAAGCACCTCAGCTCGAAGCCCGGACGGTTTCCCCGCGTTGATGTGCAGAGTACTGTTCCACTCACGCACGGGGGACCGCACGCGGGCGTTGAAGAGCTGCATAGACAGGTCCCAGTATTCCACAATACCCACTGCAGTGTACCCAGCCAAGATATCCTGCGAACGTCAGAGGCACCCAGAGCAGGCCATAAGGTGCATATTGGTTTGTTCAGACGTGCGTTGTTCGCAGTCGGCGATGGCCGACCGGCCTAGGGCGAACGGTGAACAACACACGCTGCTTCATGTAGACCATTGTCCAAGAATTAATGACAAGCGACAAAATTATCGAGGAACACAACAATAGAGTACACCTGAGGTTCGAGCACACGTACCTGATATGATATGTTAATGTTATTGCCTAGTGCCATGTAAGCCACATGGTGAGACACCTGCCCAGCTGAGGTGTGCAGGATCCAAAAATCCAATTTGGTTTGTCAAACGTTCACGCAATACAACGAGAATGAGACAAGGACAGGAAACAGTCCTTCGACTTGCGAAAATATCGATCTGCCTGAACTACTGAGTTCCAAACGAAGGGGAGTAGCATGCCGTGTTTATGTGGAGAACATTTTGTGAGGTATCCACTGGAATGAATAGTATGTGTCCAACGTCAATTGACTACAAAATACTGCTCTCGCGGCTAAGACGCCTATCATATCAACAGCATGTTGGCTAAGAGCCGTATGGTAGCCCGGATTTCAGCGGGGTTGAGTACACTTGAAATCCGCAAATACACTAGAGCGAGTGATTTCCCACATGAAAGTATCTGACTGGCATGCGAAAATGTCTCTACGCCCGGGGAATAAATGTCCTCAGGCTCCCAAGAGTTCTCTATCAGCCCTAGGAGACAACATGTCTGAAGCCCCGCTTTAGGCAAATGCGTTGTATGATCGCGCTATTCCTATGACGAGCAGGGCCCCGAAACCGCCTCACCTCGACCGCCTGCAAAACATCTAGGCCACGGGGTTCATCCAGACCTGGCGCTGTTTCAACCTGCCGACAACCCCGGGTAAGCCATATCAAGATAATCGCATGATTAGAATTTCACGAGAAACTGACTCGAGACTGGTGGGGTTGGTTTATGTACGTGCTCAACCTTGGGGTGTGCCCTCTGACTGAAAGCAGACCAAGAACGAAGGTCTATAGATTTACGTGTGCTTCCCGGTCGGAACAAAGAATGTGGGCAGGTCGACCCCGCTTTTTTAGTGTCCTTAACGCGGGGAGTTGCCATAATGTTTCCGGGGACAGTATCGCACCATCCCCTGCGTCAATGGAGGCGTGCTATACGTCAATTGATTCGCCTTGACAAGCACGAGCACTTCATATGTATGACTAACGGCGTGCAAAGTCGTGTTGCGTCCGAAATTGATCCCATACTTGTAGCACCCAAGTAGTTCAACGTTGACATTGCTCGATAGGATAAAATATCAATAGCCTGGTCGACGGTGGTACGCTATAGACACACTACCACTAGAATGCAGATGCACGCACGCAGGCAGGGTGTGCGACACAGCAAGAAACGCAGCGCACCCCACACGCGCGTCGCTCTCTCGCAATGCGCAGACCGCGTGAGCACTGAAGCATTCCTAGCAGCGTAGAACGTTAGCGTCAACACCTCCAAAGTCTAGGAGCTTGGCCATAAGAACAGGTGCTCAGTTCGGACGTGGTGAACTAGAACCCGCAGTTAACTTACAGATAAGAACCGAGCCCCCGAAACACGGCGCCTACAAGATACCAAACGCAAGAAGGTGGGGTGCCATCCAACCGTTTGTTGTAGTTAGGTCCAGTGGGGCTTGGTTGAAGTATTCTGGTACGCGAACAGGGGTAGGTGCCCGCATGGAATATGCGTACCTCGCTGCGTGTGCGTGCCACGATAGGTGCAAGCGAGAACACCATGCTTTTTACCCTTAGAATATTGCAGCAGCTCGATTAATTTTGAAAAGTTGAACGGAAGAGGTGCTTCTATGGGATTGATCTAGCTAGCTTAGGGATAGGGTAAGAAAACAGGGGGAGACAATGCGGAGGGAGAGAGAAGTGACACAAAGGAGACAACTGCTGGATTTGTGTACATGCAACAGCTATCTCCGCCAATAGGCCACGAGGGCAGCCCGCGATAGGGTGGTTGCCACAGACAGGTTGATTGCAAGGTTGGTGCATCGTCACGGTGCGGCTGGAAGGGCAGGTTGCCTTGTAGGCCATGAAATGGCCAGTCGTTCAGCTACCAAAACTTGCAAAATGATCGATGAAAATGACCGAGGGCTTGGAGACCTAAAGCCGGTGTCTGTACTTGTGTACTTTTCTAACCCCAGCTGTTGTGAGCCCGCCGGTTCACTAGAGGTCCTGTGTTTTTCCCACAAGCACACAACAGCACATACCTTCCTTTACCTAGCATCGACCGCATCAACCGTCCAGATGCGTAAACCAAAGTCCAGCTCTCACCACACCCTATTTGATGTTCAATGAGTTGCTGGATTGACACGGGTCGTTCACACAGAATTCTTTCAAAATATATGCAAGATTTGACTATTCACAAGACACCAAGGTTCAACCCCCCCGAGTTCCACGACCAAGACGATGTCAAAATCTAATGATACTATTCGGCAAATACTCTCGACAACGCAGTTCCTATGCTGCCATTTCGGGCACCGCCACTCCTTCTGCCGTGGAGTAAACAGGTTTTGGAAATCGCTCCACGGGCTGTGATATTTAATGCAACAACCAACCAACTGTATTGCTGTGAGATAGTGAATTCGATTCTCCTCTGTACGCGCCGTCCTTTTCTTCCCACCACCACCTTTGTGTTCTGTTTGATTGTTTTTCGGACATTTGGTGTACCTCAGAGTATCCATTTTTTGGCCAAAAAAAATCTGAGCAGACACCTGAAACACAAGGCGTGACAGAGATTGGAATGTTTCTTTTAATGTCAAGACAACGACTGAGAAAAGGCGGTCACAGCGGGTACCCCACTCACCCCCACTCGTGACTCGGGGCCAATAGCAGAAAGAAATTTGTCTTTGACTGCATGAAGATACTGGCATGCTGCTTCCTAGGAAATGGCGAACCGGAATGAAATAATGAAAGTAACTTCGGCTACGCACATCACTCCTTTCCACGCAAATTCTCGACCGAATGAAGCCGCGCCACCGATCTCAAATTGAGAGGGCACCAACCAATAGTGGTATGCATAACAGAGCGGCGGTGAATGTTGCGTTTCACCCCCGTTTGTTTCCCACACCCCTCTTGTATGTACAGTACTCGCCATGAGTCGGCTCGAAGAGTCTAGGGATAGCCAAGCACGGTCTTTCCGTATAGGAGGGCGAGAACATGCCGAGCGTGACGTTTGACCAGGTCTACCGATGCAAGCGCACCGCCCCATACCTCAGGTACGGTCGGGGACAGTTGACTTCCCTACAGTAAATGTGAGATAGTAAATTCATGTTGAGACCCCCTACAACTCTGTCCACCGGTAACCTAGAACAGAAACGGTATGTGCTGCACCAGCCGCCAGAGCGTGTATAGCATCGTCGATCACTCCGGTATAGCTCCGCTCACGTTTTGAGTAGATTCGCTCCTTTTTGAATGTGAACAGAAGGAACAACGAAGAGCTTCGTTGGGATGTTGTTCGTTCGTTCATTCAGGAGACTCAACCAAACGTATGCATAGAGGGAAGAAACGGGGGAACGTGCTGCCAACTATTCCTCACAAATCATGGCTTGTAGAAAGGTTCGAGAATGTTTGACGGACACACACCGCTACTGCTGCGGTTGATTTTGAGGGTCTCGCATGTTGTAGCGTCCAAAGCGTATCGTGCACGACAGAAGCGAAGCGCACGGTGGGGCCATAGTGAGCAATCAGACAATATGTCAGAATGCCAAGCAACAGAACAGGGGACGATGTGTTGTTGTCTTTGAATCTTTACGCTGCTTCCCCGGGTGAACGACGCTGCAATCTTAGTCACGTGCGTTTAAATAGCGAGGATACCTGCTGCAGTCCATCATCGCCCTTCTGCTGGCCATTTTCGTCGCAAATTCTAGGCCATGTACTGTCATCCTTACTCTGGTGCATCCATCAATCTAGCGATGAAAAAAGGTACGTCGTTGCATTGCGAGGATTACCCAAGGTGGGGAGGTTGTATCTCGTGCCCCATAACAGAATATCGAGGTTGCCCAACGTGCCGCTACAACCTGGGTTGTTGGCCACCCGTGTTCTCTTGAACGGCCCCCTGGTTCGTGGTATGTGTAATCATACGTGTTGCTGAGTAGAGTGGCTGTGCTAACACGAAGACTGCTGGATCTTGGGAGGGTAAGATTTTCAAATCTGGAGATGAAGCATACCAGGATATTCTGGCTTGGCTGGGCATGAAAAGTCCCTTCTGCTGCCCTGCGCTCTTTGTAATTCAGTGGCTTCATAGATTTCGGCGAGGGTATGTAGGCGGAGCTATAATGTGGGTCTCTGTGAAAGGATATATAGTTTGAGAGAATTACTGTGGCATTCGTAGTTAGCGCAGGATGCATTCTCCGAATTTTGGTACCCTGCCAGTGACCTTGATTTTACCCGTTGGCACTGATGTCTTTTCATTGGTCACCAGCACACCAGCGTAAGCAAATGGTCTATCAATGGTCTATCAGAACGCCTGAAGACCCAAAAGGGTCAAGCAGCATGGGTTGGGGCAGCCATGGAAATTCTGGACAGCTGCTCCTCCTGTAGGAGTACCGTTTTCGCCTATTCGAGCGTTATAGCATGACGATGACTGTGGCCGTGGATGGTTCAGGCGACGACTGAATCGACGTGCAGGGTTTGCTTGAACCGTACATCTTCACGGGCGATGAGAACTGCAGCGACGACGAGTGAAGTTCAAAGTCTGGCAAAGAAGGGTGCGGAGGGGAGGATGGCCAGAAGGTTTNTGGAAATTCTGGACAGCTGCTCCTCCTGTAGGAGTACCGTTTTCGCCTATTCGAGCGTTATAGCATGACGATGACTGTGGCCGTGGATGGTTCAGGCGACGACTGAATCGACGTGCAGGGTTTGCTTGAACCGTACATCTTCACGGGCGATGAGAACTGCAGCGACGACGAGTGAAGTTCAAAGTCTGGCAAAGAAGGGTGCGGAGGGGAGGATGGCCAGAAGGTTTGGGGCGGCGTGAACAACGTAGAGGATAGGGGCAAGGGAGACGACTGCAGGGAGGGCACGCAGCGCGGCGGTCCCAGCGACGACGACGATCACAGCATGTTGAATGGAACTGTATGTACTTCGAATTGTCAAATACGACAGAGCCCGATGTGACCAGAGTCTTAAACTTCCCGGAATTGTCGCTGTTGTTGACGTTGCTGTTGCTGTTGCTTCCACAGATATTGTGTATGGATGAAAA